ACAAAGAAGGAACAGAAAACACATTAAGATATTTTACTCTTTTATTCAGGAACTGAGAGAAAAGTAAACGTATTATATTATTCACATGGCCATTTATGCCTGACAACAACAGAAGTTAGGACCACATGAGGTCCAATTGAAGCCATTTCCATATCTGTACATCGCCATCTGTGCTGTTCCTGTGCTTTGGGGGTTTTGGGGAGAGTACTTGTAGTAAAAATGAAATGCTTGAAAACATCTCCCTCTATTAAAAAAAGCAAAAATAACTGTTATTAACAGACCTTTTTTGGTTACATATGAGACAGAATGTATTGAAAATCTTTTATGTGAAAAGAAGAAAAATCTTCCTGCGGCCTTCAACTCAACATTAGGATGCATTGAAGACTTATTGTCAATTAAAACAATAGTTATTTCCATTCTTATGTCGACACGATATATCCCGGTGAGCTTGAAGGAGGATAAAGAGATAACGAACACTGTTCAATCTCAAAGTCCGTAAACCAATACAAAATAGGAACAGAACAAACAAATAAAAAATTCCATAAAGTCTTACACATCAAGGATATGGAATTAACGAACAGTATTCACTATCAAAGTCCAAAAAACAATACGAAATAGAAGCAGAGCAAACACGGAGCTCAAAAACATCAAAGGTGGGATCAGGTGCCTTGGAGGAGTGAGAATCCCCTGCCGACCGGCAATACCCGCCCGTGTGCTCCTTGTCATAATCGAGAAATAACCGAAATATCCGTCGTCAATTCAGTGTGTAAATAATGGATTAACAATTAGAATGAAACACGTCAGTCAGGTGTTCGTTATCTCAATATATTTCAAGTGTTTTATCAACATTTGATCTTAATTACTGTTCGTTATCTCCATGTTTCATTCTCATGTCAACTAGATATAAATCAGTTAATTTATAAGGTAAAAATACCCCCAAAGTCTGTCACATCTGTTTCAAAATTGAATGTTTTACTGATTTGAGTTGGTCAAAGGTCAATTAACAACTGTATGATGATCAAAAACGTAAGCTTTTCCATCGTCAACGTTCTTTACTTATGAAGTAATATTCAACTGTCACCTGCATAAAGTGTTTGTATGGTTTTAATTCCTCTTCAAAGATTTGTATTTTTTTTCTATCGATCTTTGTTTGATATCTTCAACTTTCCATTGGCTCAAAATCAAGACTTACAATAGCATAATTATTTTTGTGACGGACGGAAGAAATTAATTAATCCAAACATACGAACGCATCCGCTGATTGGAACATTGTCAAGATAAAATTTCAAGACTACTAAAAAAAACCTACGTTCTTGATCCTTGATTTCCATAGATATCTCTCATACTGCCGATAGCATTTCGACAAAGGGTGTTACACGAAGGTCCTATACCGCATGGTCGCCGAATTGCAGAAACAAAATGATTATTGCTTACACTTCCAGCACAGGCAGCTTGAGCAATAGCACCAGCATCGAACCCTAAATACATTTATTTTAACTGAAAATACATGTAGTACTAATTGTTTATTTTATGAAATTATCTTTATATTATTTCTACGTGAATCATCAACCCTTTGAGAGACATTAAATTGCTTAAAGCTTTTTACACATTTTTCGTTGAATAGGGGAAATCAAATAAGCAAAATTAACAAGTAACATTTGAATACAAACTAAAGAGTATTAGTTAAGGCCCCTTCGCATGTGGTGCATGAGCAGAAGTGACAAAATATCCGTGCGACCGATTAATTTTTATCAGAATCGTAAACTGTTGCCGAAATAATCGTACATGAAAAATAGCATTCGTAAGAAATTCGTACGATCTAAAGCGATTGTTCATTAAATCTTGCGATATACCTTGCGTCTATATGCGACACAGTTGAAGAATGAACGCGAGTGTTGTTAGATAATGCAACAGGACTGCACGAATGATCAGGTAACTAGACGATTGAGTGTGCGCCAATGCCAATGGACGTGCGGCACTCATGCATTCCATGATACGCATGTACTTTCGTAGTAGTAAGAAGGCCGGGTATACATGTACAAGTACCTTGTCTGACGGTCTTCATAAGACATAATTGATTGCGAGAAAAGATGAATATAATTAAACAGGGAACGAACATTATTGGCAAAGCATGGCAATTGAAGCTGATAAATCAAGCTATGATAGTTTAACGCAGCAAAATTACAACACGTTGAGCATCAATCTCATGGTCACAAAACACACGCAAAGACAGCTGCAATTCATCTTGAGACCTTTAAAATCGTACATATTAAAACGTCCGTACTAATATTTGTGCGTTGAATTGCGAATGCGAGACATCGTGCAATGTATGCGAGAGATCGTGGGAGGGTGTAAAATGGAAAGAATCAATAAGATAATTTCAGGATTAAAAACAAATACTGATGCTTCCTTTTTGTGTTTGACGTATCACAGTATATCAAATGATGTCAGTATTAAAATAAAGTATTATAAAAATTTAAGAAGAAATTAAAAGCAATAATATAACTCATAAAATCACAAGGTCCTAGGTTACGAATTCGAAGTACATATATCAATAATTAAAGATAGCTACTTCTATTTTAATTTCAAATTTTCTACATGTTCCTTGGAATTTTTTTAGCATCACCACTTCTCGAAAATACAGTTAACAATACAATGTTATACAATACTTCCTATGTTTCTCCTTCACAACTGTAAATATTTTGGTGAGATATTAAGAAAGAGGCTTACATGTAGAAGATCATTTACTGCAACCGGATATGACTCTTCATCTACACGCATTTACCAAAAATTCTATGAAGTTTAAAAACCCAGTACAGATATTGTAACTCATACTTTGATAGTTGGAAATATTTTTTTAAAAATCAAGCTAACACATTATTTTCCTGAATTTCCTCCTTCGAAATGAATCTGAGTTTAATTTGGATTACAACTTGCAGATATAAATTCAAGTACCCCGAAATAAATTTTAAAATTGAACCTTATAAACAAAAACAATATTGTAAGGTACTTCGTCAGACTATGTTAATTCTTTTATTTTATACCTTTTCAGGTATATGTTGGTACTAGAAACCAAACATAATAAGAGAGAACGAAAGTACGGAATTGAGAGAAAGTTTTTTTTATGCTCTACATAATTAGGACCGCAATATGTTGCATTGTAGCCAGCCAATCCATATCTGTACATTGCCAAGCGTGCTTTTCCTACCATTTTAGGGTGCAGGCACGATAGAAGAAGTGAAATGCATTAAAACATGTTTGTCTGGAAAAAAATGGCATGTTGATAAATGCATTTAATTTTCTAGATGGAAAGTGACTATCAATGTCATTTGTGATCTATTCCGTCCATCAAATATGTACAATTCATTTACTTTTATTACTAATAAAAATAACACATCGTATTATTTAGGAAGGATACTAAGTACGGAAAGCACACCTTCATGACCTGCATACGGAGTTTATATATTGTCCCCCGCTTGAAAAGTGAGGGATATTAATTTGGGTCTGTCCGTCCGTCCGTCTAGCTGTCCGTTCGTCTTTCTGTCTGTCTGTAACGCTTTCGTTTCCACACGATATTTCGAGAATCCTTTGAGCTTTCGCAATGAAATTTCGCGTAGCAACTCCCTATGGACCAAAGAAGAACCCTATTGATTTTGAGGTCAAAAGGTCAAAGGTCAAGGTCATAAGTTCGCAAATTATGTCTGTTATAACACTTTAGTTTCCGCGCGATATCTCGAGTACCCTTTGAGCTTTTGCAATGAAATTTTGCATAACAACTCCTGTGGCCTAAGGAAGACCCCTATTGATTTTGAGGCAAAAACGTCAAAGTTCAAGGTCGTAAAATTATACATTCTTTCTGTATGACACACTATCATTTCCGGGCGATATTTCAAGAAGATTTTCAGCTTTTGCAATGTAATTTTATACCAAAACTCCCTAGGACCTCTCTCACCCCTCTCAAAGTGTCCCGCCCCGTTTGTTGTATTAGTATTCATTGTATGACATATCGCTATTTTTAGAACAGGGGCATGAGGAGAGTTTTACGTAAAAACAGGTTCTCAGTGGACTTTATAATCTAATTACATGTACATCTATTAGAACTGTTTAACAAAGGTTAAATTAGACACCATGCATTGTATAAAATTTTGACAATATCGAACGTGAATATATACATGATGTGACTTCATGTCTGCATATAATTTTCCTCAGATAAAAGCGGCTCCGTGGTCTAGTGGTATGTCTCTCGCTTCTGAAGTGAGAGGTCTCGGGTTCGCATCCCGGACGATCCATTTTATTTTTTTTTCCGAAATACTTTTTTTTTTTACTAAATGATAGTATTCAGCATGTGAAATGAAAAATTTATGAGGTCTGGCTTGTACAAACTCATAAAATCATCAATACAGTGTGATAAATATTCCATATAAAAAGAATCTTCTATACACATAACAAAGAATAAGCAATCAAACCTTTATATCCATATTGGCATTTTTTATTTGCTTCAGTATACATGTACATTTAATAATTCTACAATTTCAGTCAAGGGGATCCAACCCCCCCCCCCCCCCTCCCTCCGAACTTCGCATTGTTTACTTTTTCCCTTACGCGGGAGACACAAATTCTCTGAATTATCTTGTTTCAGTCGATTCGATACGCTGGAGTACTGTAGATCACTAAATTTTCGCGACACCTTATTTTCGCATGATAGTCATTGACTCTTGATAAGCGAGAAAAAATTTTTCGCGAATCGTGGATATTGCTCTATATAATCTGAAGGAAGACTATTATACGCGAGAATTAAATTTTCTCGAGCACACTGTCTAGCGTAATTACGCAAAAATAAAGTTCTCGCGAATAAAAAGTGATTTACAGTATGCCCTACGTATAAACAATTTCTAAAACAAGGTAAATTTTTGACAAACAAGTTGATGAAACAAGAATATCAATAGTCTCGTTTAAAGTCATCATTTCGTAAGTTCTGTGGCCGATACAATGACCTTGTCCGCAAATACAATTCACGTTTGAGTCGAATGCTGACTGACGTTTTTCATACTTATTGTTAGTCCGGTCCATTATCCATACACTGAATTGACGACAGATTTTCCCGTTATTTCCAAATCTTGAGAAGGGGCACATAGCGGGAGTGACCGATCGGCAGGGTATACTCACTCTTCACGGCACCTGATACATCCTCTGAAATGATGGAGGTCCGCTTCTTTTTTGTAATGTTTTTTGGACTCCTTATATTTTACATATGAACAGTGCATGTACGAAGTTCAGGAATGTATCTGTTTACAGGTAAACAGACGCCATCATTCTGTACTTTTAAAAAATGATAATCTGTTTTATATAGGGTGTTTTAACTACATACCTAATAACTCCCTTCAGTTAAATGTTATGATGAAATTCCACCTTCAAATATTTATGTGCCTTTTCCTCACAGGAACTACAGTTTCCAGTGATGATGATTGTAGGCTATCAGCAAAAGAAAATTCAATGCATTTAAACAAACTGTAATGGAACAACTTAGAAATCTGGAGATCGAAAACAAAATGCAAGCGAAACTAATAGCCAGTCAGGAAAGATTGATCTCCAGCCTTTAAGAATCGCTCACAGGAAACGGCGAAACATTGACCGAAGTACGCAGGGAAGAAATATCAACGATAAATTCTACACTCGTAGATATGGAAACACCGCATTTACCTCTAAAGACCATATTATCAACCTCATGGCGGAAGAGAATGAAGCAACCAAGTGAGTTTAATTTTATGTAAAATTTAACTAAATTTTGTTATAGTTGTTTAACTAGCATTTTAATAGCTACGGTCTTAATTTCATTTTTCATTACCTCTTGTAGTTACTCTTGTTTCTTTTATCAATGCTATGTCGAAACCTTTAGTAAATAAATTAATTAAAAATTAGCTTTTTCACAGCATACAACAAATTTTAGCTGAACTAACATCATTTATTGTTAATATTTTTTCCATGGAAATGTTTTGAATTGAACAAATCAAATTTTCGTATGTAGTGTACAGGCTGAGTTTATTCAATGACCTACCAACAAAGTGCACCAATGCAATATTACATTTATTTAATGTATTCTAGAACAACGTTATATACCAAGATTGTAGCAAATTGTTCAGCTGATTGATATTTACCTGTATTATTTTCTGTATGCCTGATACCAAAACCTATATACGCCCGAGTCCTCGATAAGTAGATTATTAAAATATAGCTAAATTAAAGAAAGTCTCACTTTTGTGGTGAGGCATGATAGGAACAAATCCAATTCTTGAAAATTTGGATCAACCAATCTTGAAAAATAACTAAGAAAAATTAACATAGGATGTTAAATGAAAAGCATTAAATCACAAAAACAAGTGTGTGGAAATTGATCTTGCTAACGAAATGTTTTTTCGAAAGATTATATGACATTCTAGACTTTTATCGTTTAACAGTCTATTTATTTTTTTCCCATAGAGGTAAGCAGAATCACCGACGCCCCTGAGTACCTCATTGCTTTCTATGCATATCTAACTACACCTGAAGTAAATCCTGGAGCGCATCACATAGTTGTCTATGACCATGTTATGACGAATAATGGACAGGGCTATAATAAACACACGGGATCCTTTACTGCTCCCACGACTGGAGTTTACGTTTTCTCTTGGACGACATTTGCTGACCCGCATTCCTATTTTCCGATGGAGCTAACGGTTAACAGTGCTAGAGCTGGCATTGTGTTTGTAGAAGGTGACACCACTTATAATGGAGTTACTGGTATGGCCGCCGTTAATCTTCAACTAGGAGACGCTGTATATGTAAGATCTGAACCTGGATACACTCCAGTTGGCAATATTTACAGCGATCACAACACACAAACATCCTTTTGTGGATTGTGTCTTCCTGCTGAAATACTCTGGAAGTATTTCTGAGATTTCATGATTTTCTATGTAATTAAGAATTGTACGTAGTTCATTCAAGACACAGTAATAATATGATATCCCTAATTTCACATCTTCAGTGTATAAATGAGACTTGTTATTGCTATTAAAAACTTGAAGGTGACAAGACTATCCACTGTGGGTTTTTCCCTAATGATCCTTGTTATCTGTAGTCTTGATATTATAATTTGAAACCATTCATCTAATTTTGAAAAATAAGAAAAAAACTTAATATATTCAAATTATCTAATACAACGCAACATTTCAGACCTTTATCAATTTTATTTATACTTGTTATATTTGATAGGAAAAAAGTATGAAATACTAATAAATAGAAAGCTTATCGCCTTGATCAGAATTCAGAATATATTTTATTAATGATAATTTTATCGTCACGGTAGCTCATTGGTAGAGGGCTCTCCCCATAATCAGAAAGTCGAGAGTACGAATCTAATGCTCTGTTCACACGACGAGTTTAATTCGCAGTAAATTAATGCGAAATAAACTTATGCGAATCAAACTTATGCAAATTAAATTGCATTAACACGACAGCTAATGCGAAGTAAACCAATGCGAATTAAAATTTTACTTCGACAGTCAGGCGTCAGTAAGGCTAATACGACGTCATTTGCAAATTCCGTCACCTAGCTTATGCAGAAGCAGTTGCATTTGACATAATGTTACAGTGTCTGTAAACAGGCACATTTTAGTGATTATCACATTTTTCTTAGTTTTTCACTCAAAAATAGCACAAGTATAAAAGCTGACAACCGACATGTGGAATTTGACATAATTTAGCCATTACGCATGCCTCAAAATTTAATTCCAATTAAGTAGCTTCGCTTATCGTTCACACGGAGCTAATGCAAAGTAATTTAATGCGCATTTATTATAATAATTAATTCGAATGAGACCAATTCGTATTAAACTCCCAGTATGAACTCGGTTCAAATTTAATTTGCAGTAACTAATAATTACGTTTAATTCGAATTAAACTCCCCGTGTGAACAGGGTATCAGCTTCGACTGACCTAAGTCGATATAAAGATTGGTAGCAACTGTTCCTTCGCCAAGCGCTCGGCACCTGAAGTGAAAGTTGCGGGTTTTTCTGATGAGACCTTACAAACCGAGGCGCGGTGTTGCCACGATAAAGATCCCTTACTGTTCAATGATTCTCATCTTCTCTAGCCAAGGGATTCTGTTATGCTACTCTCCTAATAAGCCTTTGGGATATAGTGCTGACAAAAGAATGGATTGTTTTCGTCACGTGATCACGATTCTTACCAGGTACGCACAGATTGAGTCATCGACAGAAATAAATAGTGTATTCAAAAATTATTGTTTCAAAGAATAATCAACAAGTAGGTATTGAGACTCAGTTATGTTAATTTGTTATTTAAACATGTAAAGATGCAAATTTACATCTTCAGTATAGATTCTTACTCACATATTTTGCAAGAGTCGAGATATATCCCGAACGCAAATATCGCCATGTACAAAAAACAATTGCTGATTGGTCGAACGATGTCGATCAACTCTATTCACAACTGGAGAAAATCTTTTTAAACACTGTAGGGCAAGGGTTAATGATGAGAGTAGTGTATCAGAAGTCCTTGGCTAGCGAAGATAAATGGATCTTAGTGCCTAGTAAAGGTAAAAGTTTGAAGCCCGTCACAGTATATGGGAACATATCTATATGAATGTGACGTAAAACAACATCCAATCAATCAATCAATATAAAATTCATAGGGTTATACTTTATAGCTCCCCGTCGGGATAACTTTATCCGGTGAATTTTTGGCCATCCGTTCTTTTGTCCCTTATTTTGAGAACTGTAAAGAATAATGGATTTAATATCCAACAACCGTTAGGATAAAGATCTCAAATTCCTCAATGGTTGTAATTACCGAGTAAAGATCTAAATTCAAAACTTTCACCGGTAATCGTGTCGTCTCTGAGTGCAATGCTTTTAAAGAGACGTAAAACAACAATAATTTTAATCATCGTAATGGACTTTTGCGATGATCGCTGTCTTTTACAGTTGACGGCTTACTTTTACACTAGGACAGTGTACGGAAGCTCTTTTACGATATAAATATTTAGCTCAACATTTAAATCAACGAAAATAAACTGTCATTTCAAAGCATGATAAGTTGTACTCGAAGATAAAGGACAACCATCCTACCCTCAACTACCGGCCCTTAACACCATTGCTATGACCCCTAGA